TCGATGTCTCGACAACAACATGAAAGAGATCTATCCCCTTCATCTTCCCCCATCATATCATGACACAATTGTGAACCGTTTTTTGCTGACCCTCACATCAGAATTAATAAACAAATAAATAAATTGCACATCTGCAGTTTCATTTGCAAAAACTCCACGTAAACATGCCTTTGAGTAAAAATGATCTTTTTCTCGTTTGCACAAATCCCGCAATGGGCAGGGTTAACACATTGTCTGGTTCGCACATCATTAGACAGATGGAAATGGTCATGGAGTAAATGTTTTCCTTCAATTTCCCCGTTGCTGACAACAGAAGCTGATTTTGAAAAAGCAAAAGCCATCACCTTGAAGCATCTTTCATTCTGCCAGTTCCTCGTTTATTCGTTCAGAGTGAGTTTGACTTGTCCCAACCTCTGTGAACTCCTGTCTCCCGTAAGTTCACAAAGATTCAAATACTTTCCATTGCTTACTGAGATGTTTACAAGCTCACCTTTCCCATATCACTTTCCATAGGTAATGCTCTTCATAAACTTCATTCTCGTTTTCAACATCAGCGAATGCAAGGCATTCGCTGATTGGGTGAGAAACTGTGTTGGGGGAGCGATGATGGTAGAGGAAACAGCTCAGAGAAAAGAGGTTTTAATATTAAGACCATCGATTTACACAGTGACTTTGAATGAAGCTATCATTAAATCTCGGTTGGCGGGGACCCAATGTATGATTTACGTTTAGGCCGGGAAAGACGCCACCATAGATCAAATGCTGACATCGGTGAAGAAGTTCGAAATAATAGAAACTAATTAGTAAGCTCATATCGAATCTCTTCCCTCATTCCATTTTTCGCTTAAAATAATTAATAAACCTTTCATTTACAGTTATGGTGAAGATTGGGTTGTGACAGAAGAGGAGGGAGAAGGAGGAGGAAAAAGTATTAAAAAAAACGACTGCTTCTTCATGAATAAAAAAAAATCAAAATTATCATTGACAATGACTTAAAAAAAAGATATATTCGTTATAAATGCAACCAAAGATGTGCTTAACACATCTCGTCTTTCACGCAGAGACACTCATGGCTAGCATCATTCAAGCTTTCTTTTCTGGCGACTTTTTTTTTCAAAACTAGGATGAATGAACATTATTTCGAAATAATTCTCTTTACTAGGATCATGAACATCATCAGGGTGCACTCTGCGGAGGAGAGGGATGATGCAATGGTGCTGTATTCAGTATTAGCGCATGTGAAATTGAATGCGATTTCTCCACATACTATCGTTATAAGACTCGAAGGAGATAATCGACTCCGGAAAAAGACCATTGAAGAGAAACTTGGAAGCCTACGTTCGTCTGTGAGATGGCATGCAGACGACGCGGACATCGAAAAATGCCTCAAGACGGAGGAAGTCCGAGCAAAATATAATGTTCTGTGGTAATGCCATTCATTACCTCATACATTTTTTAAATTCCTGTTTGCATTTTTCATCGAAGACACATGCCTTCCCTCCATCCTTAAAGTTTATTAATTCACTGAAACAATATTTTGATATGTTCCTTGCTGCACAATCTCCTGAACACGTTTTCTTTCTCTCTCCCTCTCTCCACAGAAGCGATGGAGACTGAACGAGAACCATTTTCCCCGACCCCTACTCCAGTTCCAACTATATGTCTTCATATGGCGTTAGAAGTTTTTACGCTCACATCAACTCACGTTTGGATTCCTTTCCTTCGCCATCATCATCAAGCTCTTTCAATACTTTCCCTTGTTCTTCGTATATCGATTCCATTGAGGAAGAGATTGACGAGAGAATTGTATTAAACTTTCCCTTTTCCTTCGACACAGACTTTCTAGTCTTATTTCGTCCCCCTTCTCTACACGTCCGGAACCGTTCGTTTAAGGCGACCCTGTCTGTGGGTCTTGGATATTATTTCTTTCACAACAGCCACACCGCCCCTCCTCCAGTCTCAGGGTTAATGACTGTCAGGGGCCAGGGCTGTAAACAGCGTAGTGTGAGGGAAAAGGGAAGACACAAGCAAAGAACTATAAATACATAATAGGGAAAGCCTCCCCTACTCTGACTCCCCTCCCCAACACGCCCTTGACCGTCAAGTTTACCTGCCACTTGTTTATGTATCCTTTACAAATACATATTTTAATTGTTGCTGCATGCTAGCAAATATGCCATCATTAGTTGTTATAACATTTACCATGAATGGTACAGAGTGATTCAAAGTTCGTATACATTATTTTTAATCACCCTGTATATGTGCATCTTCAATACCGTATTTAACAACTTAATGGGCTCGCGGTTAAAACATTCTTTGGAGCGTCCTCCAATGACCTAGTTCCTTGGCGACCGATTGAAGCTCAGCTGGTGGAATGCCTAGCCTATCATAACAAAGCAGAGCAACTTCATCACTCTAACTTGTACGATGTCTACCATCTGGTCCTCTTCCTGGTTATCTTGTTCTGGAAGACTCCACTTGGAATTCTCTCAGGAGGCATGCGGCAGACGTCTCATAGGCACCTGACTTGAGACTTCTCGACGGGCGGAAGAACCCACTTTTTTCTGGATTCGACGGCGGCTACCATCCGTTCCTCCATTCCGTGTATCCCTTAGGCATTTCAGGCGTGGACCAAGAACTCTTTCTCCCGCTATAGAGGACATTCGACGTAACCTACCCACCAATAGCCTCCTTCATTAACCCTCTCCACTCTCCCCCCATTCTCGACTAAGCTTGGAATTATGGAATTCTTTACGATGTAGGGATATTGCGGTATTGGGACTTCTCGATGAGGACTGGTGAATTAGGCCCATCTGGAATTTCTATCGCCACCCCAACTCTGACGTCAACGGACAATCATGAATCGAAACGCATCCTGGACGACGTCTAGTTCATTCTTATATGTCCGTGCACTATATCTCCATTTTTCACGGCATTGATCGTTACCCCACTCCACATTAAGGGTTACTTGATGAGAATATTCGGCTACTTAATTAATCAAAACCTTCAATTGATAGCATTTTTCTCCTTTCACAGAAATATCTGTCCATGAAATAAGCCCAACGGAATGGGGATCATGCTATCATACTACACTTGGGAGAACTGCAGCTGGGCAACTGCACGGAACTCCGAACTGTTACCATTTCATCCTTGAAATAACGAGGATTCCACATGTTCCCCTCAAACGATTTCATAACGAACACTCCATACGAGGACAACACCATTAACATACGGATAGCACAATAAAGTTTTGACAAGGTGCTGCAACACTCAAGGAAAGCTTTCATTCGCAGAGTTCGTCACGTCATTTGAGAGACGCCTGAATAAATTTCCTAAAACATTCCGAAAAGAACTTTGAATTCAAGTGTGACAGCTTTTTCTTCGGCGCGTGCATTCTCTTCGTCGTCCTTCCAGTTGTGCCGGAAAATAGTCGTGTAATAAAGTTAGAACGTTGATAAAACCAAAACGTAAAAATTAAGTACCCCTGGTGCTACTCACGAAAAAGATTTAAAAATTAAAGCAAATACTTGACAATCAAATCAGGGAGTTGCCTGACCTCCAAGTACGTCTACATGAAGTATGTGCGCTAAAAACATAAATACCTACATCTGACAATGAGTATCGAATGCAACCAACAGTTCTTGAAACGCTTGAACACTTCCATTGCCCTACTGCTTCCCTCTCTTACGAGGCATCTTTAGTGAGGAAGTGGAAGGGGCAGAAAGGAATGTCACAGGCTTCGAATGTGTTTTCGTTCTCGTCAAAACCAACAAAACAGTAAGTCAGGTCCTTTCTCCCAGTTGGATTTCGACAGAAGTTGTGATTCTCGCTCCTCACGTCTTCTGGGAATCTCGGCCAAAATTGTTCCCACAACCTGGAGTCGCTCCAAGGCAGACACGGACGCCCGGACACCGTCACGTTGAGAGTCCCTGCATATTCCTCTCCCTTGTGGGTCCATTTGCATTCCGTCTTGTCTGGTGGAGATAAATATTAAACCACGCAAATCTTCATCTTTCCAAGAAAGAGAGAAGGATTCTCATGATATGAGCCAGGGATTACAAGCGGACTTTTTGAAAACACAATTTGACGCATTGAAATACATCTTCCAGCAATTTATTCAACATGAGATGTATTATCTTGTAAGGCTCATGTCGAATTTGATGGAGAATGCAGTTTTCTTAACGAGAAAACAGCATGAATGACTTGAAAGGATTTAGATGGAAAAACTATCGCTCCTTAGGTTTAATATAATGATTCAATTTTTCTTGATATCGTCAATATATTAGTCCCAGATGAGCAAGTATCCAAGGCCACAATGCACTTCATAATGAATTTAATTTCAGATGGCCTGCAATGAGCGACTGCTAAATTGGACAACATCTTGAGTAATATTTCCATATCCACGCAAAAGTTACACCTCAGTCGTTTTTGGCCGCTTCAAGAAGCGAGTGATATCATAGCATTTATTTGCCATAAGCAAGCTCTCTTTGATCATAACGATGTGTCTACTTAGAGTTTTGCTCCTTTCCGACCCAGGCATGACGCATTTCGAACCAGATGGAACATTAGTTCGTGGTCTGAGTGAGCTCACTGGGGTAGTTGGGGCAGAGCGGGATATCGCAGAATTCCCATTTCATGCCTGGATCGGCGATGAAGCACCAGGGTTGTTTCTTCAATGTCGGGTTCCTGCAGAAATCATGATGCGATGCGGCATTGCCAAATCGGAAATGACCATCGTAGGATAATTTCGGGTCGAAGTCCTCAAGCTTTCCATAGGGCTGAGTGTCCCATCGGAGGCAGGGCCTCCCAGTCATCGTCTTCCTCGTCGTACCCACGTATTCCTTCCCCATCTTGGTCTGCAAACATTCCGGGTATCCTTGCGCCGGTTTACCTGTCACATTTTAGGTAAGGCATCCCATCGGAGGCAGGGCCTCCCAGTTATCGTCTTCCTCGTCGTACCCACGTATTCCTTCCCCATCTTGGTCTGCAAACATTCCGGGTATCCTTGCGCCGGTTTACCTGTCACATTTTAGGTAAGGTTGTCTTTGAATCACCTGAAACCTAGCTACCGCCTGCCTGTAGTGTTTGAAAAGTTGAAAAGAACTGGTTTCCAAAATATTAGAAAGCAAATTTTTCCATTATTCACACTTAGGTAACTATGTAAGATAATGGATATTTGCACATCTGCATTCTTCACCATTGAAAGGCACAAAAGGGGAAAAAGATTAGAAAACACGCATGCAGCAACCTGAAAGCTTACCTTCAAGAGCGGAACGCTCATACACTTCATAGCAGAATGGGACATTGCACTGACCCCGTCCTTTCCCAACGTCTTCTCCATCCTCAGTAAAACACCAGAGACTGTCATTGTTCGGGTCAGGATTGCGACAGTAGTTGTAGCTATAGTCCTTGAGTTCGTCCGGGAATGCGAAGAAGTTCAGGAGTTGAAATCGCTTGGCGTCGGACGTCAACCAGGGTTGGCAGTTCCGACCACCTGCATCCACGTTCCTCAACCCTGCATAATCCCATCCTTCTTCAGTCAATCTGCATTCCACGGGTTCTGAGGGTCAAGAGAACATGGAATCGTTCCACTGCAAGAGTAATCATTAATGGATATGATCCATAACTGGAAACATGGGCATGTCTGTGGATGAGCGAAAAGTGAGATACGAAACGATTTATTAATCATAAAACCTCACATATGTGCATGGGTCCCATCGTTTTGCCCATGTTTAAAAGTGAATACTTTTTAGGTATTGATATCACTCGTTCTAATCCCTTGCATCTTGACTTGTGATTATGCCCGTCGAATCATTGTTCCCTGTATTTCCAGAGTGGTTCAAAGTTCAGGGTTCGGTTTGGGAAGTCAAGAGGTAGTTCTATCCATTAGGATATTTTTGTCAAGGTCGAGTGTTCATGATCCATAAGACAGCCTTAGTCCTCTTCAAGATCGACTTTTTTGTGGAAGCGTATCCACGCAATGCCAAGCCGCTCATGTCATTCACTTTTATTGCTTCACTCATTCAAGATGGTATCCAACTTACTCTTAACGCTCATCACGGAATTGGCACCATTACTTGAAGCATAACTTGCGTTTACTTCTTCGCATTTAAAGAAATCATGTCACAATATCAGCTTCACATTGGATTTACGCAACTTAACCGTTTTGCTCAACGAATGCACAAATGTGAAAAGGGTTTTAAAGGGGAATTCAAATGATCACAAACCATTGCGGCTATCGACTAATTCAAAGCACTTGTAGGTAATAAAAATGATTAACCCAGATATACAGTGCTGAGCAAACAAAAAACAAAAAATAAATAAAAACAGAACTAGTCTATCTGTTTAATGGAGCGAGATTAGTGTTTGTGATTAAGTGCGCGAACAGGACACTTTGGGTCCATATGAAAAAGACTGACGGGGAAGGGGGGGATGCATTGGGAAGAATAAAAAATGAAGGAAGAACACGGGAATGGAGGATGAGGTGTTTGGGCAAGAAAGTCAATTGATCGTCCACCATGTCAGCAGTGGTTCTAAACGTTCGAGCCAGATGCTGTTGACTTCGAGCAGCCAATGTCCTTTGCAGCAGCAACAAAGAAAAGCTTAGGACCAAGCTCATGGGTTCAGAGGGAAACATTTTCCCACTCTTCATCGCTTCATCACCATGATTATCAAAATAATTATTATCATTGATTTCTCCGAAAAAGGGTTTCAGTTAATCGCGTTCCGTTCATCAGATAGGTCCATTCGGTTTTTACTTCTCAACTCTGTAGCTCGTCATAAAACTGAGAAATACCAGGAACTTACAGTATCAGCAACATGACTTCGATCACGGTGGGAACATTCTAGGCAGATTTTTGGATGTCCTAGGCAATGCTCTCTTTCTAGCAGAGTACCCTTGGAGACTAAAGGATCGCAGACCTTTGCGGTCGAGGCAGAAGGGGATGTCGCAGAATTCCCAGTAGTCTGTGGAAACGAAGCACCATGGCTCCTCTGCCGACGTTGGATTGCGGCAATAGTTGAGGTCCTGCTTTAAAATGAATTCGTGGATGTCCTCTATATTCGTCAAACCCTCCATGTTGGGATCTATTACCAGCACCTGTCGCATTAATAACAATTGAACCATCGAGGTTCCTGATGCAGATCTTTGCGAAGCATTCTTCCATTCTATGCAATTCAATCCAGTTTGTGTTCGGCTCTGGGTCCCTCTGTACTCCTTCCCCATTGTCGTCATTCTGCATTCCGGATATAT